TGACAGTATACAGTATTAATTGATTTGATAATATATTTTAAACCATTAATTTCGATGACTAAACAAATATAACAATACTACAATTAAAGGCATTCAAAAATGGTACTGTAAACCACAAGTTAAATTAATACATACTTTACTGTATGTCTAATAATTACATACAGAAATAATAGCTTCCATTCATACTAAAATGCAATAAAACCGAAGTAAGTGATTTTTTTTACCTCTTTATAAAATTCGGTAATATTCCTGCAACAAATAATGTTTTAATTGGCATACACACCTTTAGCTTTAGTTTTAATATTCGATGTTTTAAATTAGCATCTTTGGGGAGCCTAATCAGGACAAGTTAAGTTATTCCATCAATCTTGGAGGTCTCTACCCAAAAAATTACCAAACGTTTTTATTCTGGGAATCGTAGCCCAGGTATTTGATCCTTTAGGGTTACTCGGCCCCATTGTCGTTCGAGCAAAATTACTTTTACAAGAATTGTGGAAAAAACAATTGGAGTGGGACTCTGTTCCTCCTGATATACATTCCTTGTTTATTCGAGTTTTAACACAGTAATTTTATCGACAGCTTGGTAAAATTAATACGCTGCAAATTCCTCGGCATTTTCTTTTAAGAACACCAGGTAAGATTGAATTGCACGCATTCTGCGATGCGTCTTTATTGGCGTATGGTGCTTGTGTCTATTTAGTATCCTAAGATAACGTTGGCAACCGATTTTCCCAGCTGCTCACTCCTAAGTCCAGGGTTGCACCAATTAAAAGCATTACTTTGCCGAGACTCAAGCTTTGCGGTGCACTTCTGTTAGTCCAACTTGTCAAAAAGGTGACTGCGGCATTGAATCTATTATTTTCGACTGTCCAATTTTGTGTGCTTCGTATTAAGCCTAGCCATTTAAAAACTTTTGTTGGAAATTGGGTGTCCGAAATTATGTCCAACTCTACGATAGAAAACTGGAAGCATGTCCCGTCGACTGGCAATCCAGCCGACATTATTTCCCGTGGTACGGTCCAAAAAATTTATCTCTTTGTCCTTTCTGGTGGGCTGGCCCGCAATGGCTGTTAAAAAATTCTTCTCATTGGCCTCAACAAAGTGACCCATGTGAAAAAGAATTACCTGAACTTAAACAAAAAACTATCTTAATTTTTTCCTCTGTCGGCGGTTTTCCTATTTTAAATAAATACTCATCTTTTATGACACTTAAACGTGTAGTAGCTTATTGTTTTGTTAACTAAGTGAACTAATAATAGAAATACCAAGTGGTATCAAATTATTCGTAAAAAAAATTGAGATAAACGATAAACGAGAGAAACGAGGAATTAAAAATACGATTTGGGCATCTTTTAATCGGCAAGGACAAGACACTAAAAACATTAAACGATCAAATAAATTTTTCCAAGGCCCCTTGATTCAAAAATTAGTGATTTTAACATAGACATGACATTCTAGATTGAAATTTCAAATACAATTTTTTTACGATCAAGCGAGAATGTCTATTCAGAATGTTATTTTCTATCGAATAAAGTGAAAAAATACCGAGGGTGCCATTTAAAAATCAAAAGTCGTAGTCATTTCCGATGAAACAGGAAGTGACCAAAATCAATTGAATACAGTCAATCAATCCTAATTTAGGTCATATACTACCATACCAAGTCTCGTTTTTTTATCTGAAAAAATAAAAAAGTTATAGGGGTGAGCCATTTTTAAGGCGCACCTATCATAGAATTAAACACCTTATTGCCCTGCAAGTTATATACATTTTGTAGAAACCAGTTAGACCTACTATAATATTTTGTAAAATCTTAACGTTAACTGCCTAGTGCCTAGTAAAAATATAGAATATACGGGAAGAACTTGATAACCACCAGCCGTCCGGTAATTTCCAGTAAAAATATAGAATATACGGGAAGAACTTGATAACCACCAGCCGTCCGGTAATTTCCAGTAAAATGGCGCTTATCAAGTTATTCCACTGGATCCTTCAAATACTATACTGCCTCGAATTTCTTCTTCTGTGGCCTCGATACCTTTATAGATACAGTTGAGTGAGTTGAGGCATAAAACTTATGCCTATAGGAAAGTCTCAAGTGGCGTAACTCATTTTTTCGATTTTTCAGTTAAGCCTTTACGCCAGATTTTTTACGATATTTTGTATTTTACTGATATTCATGTATCTGAATATGTACGTAACTAATTGTACGAATACTAATTGTAAAATAAAGTAAAAAATATATGTACTGAACTAGGCCACGCTAGATCGTCAAACGTAAATTTACCATTCAAAAGGTTCTTTTCAAATGAATTTTAGTATGTTGTTAAAATAAATTACTAAAACATTAACGAACTATCGCGACATCTATGAGAAAATCAGTCACGAGTCATGCAAGCGCTTTAGTCAGCACGCTTAAATGAATAAGTAAAACAAGTATGTTTCTAATTTTTATTTTGAAATCGTCGATATGTGATACACGTGTTAATTATAAAATTAAATGCATTGCGTTATTTTTAGTGCACCAAAATGTCGAAGATTTAATATGTTTTATATCATAATAATTCGAATTAATCATTTGTAATGGTGACGATAAATCAAAGCAAGAATTTCTATGAACATACAAACTGCATAAAATTTTCTCACATATATGTCAGCATGAGATAAAACAATATGGCGATATTATTATATAATTTGGTAATATTTGAGGGGTAGTTTCATCTCGTTGGAATTTGACTTTCCAAAAATCCGTTTGCCGAAAATAAGCTTTTTACGTCAAGCAGTTTAAGCAGAATCGTGTTTAATCAATTACCTACCCAATTTTTTGAAACACCCTGTATGATTTTTAAAAAATTCAAAATATGTAAAAAACAAAATAAATTAAAAGTGTCCAAGCGTTTTCCCGAAAGACTAACCGTTTTTAAATAATAAATATTGTAATATTTGAGGGCGTTTTCACCCCTTGGGATTTGAGATTCGAGAAACCCTCTTATCGAACCTCTACACCCCATCACAGTCAATCCGTTTGTTAAAATTAACTTTAAACTTCAACCAGTTTAAGCAGAATCGTGATTACTCAATGGTCATATTTTGTGAAACACCCTGTATAATTTTTAAAAAATCTTAAAATATGTATACAACAAAATAAACGCGTTTAAGAGTTTTTCCGAAAACTCACCGGTTTGAATAAAAAATATTCTAATATTTGAGGGGTGGTTTTACCCTCTTAGAATTCAAGTTTCGAAAACCCCTTCTTATCGAACCTCTACACCCTAAAGTCAATCAGTTTTCCAAAAATCAGCTTTTACGTCAAGCGCTTCAAGCAGGATCGTGATTAATCAATGACCAAATTTTTCGAAACACCCTGTATACATTTTAAAAATCTTAAAATATGTAAAAAACAAAATAAAATATACGTGTTTAAGTGTTTTTCGGAAACTTGACCGTTTTTTAAATAAAAATATTGTAATATTTGAGGGGTGGTTTCACCCTCTTGGAACTGGAATTTCGAAAATCCCTCTTGTCGAACCTCTACACCCTAGAATCAACCTGTATGCCAAAACTGAGCTTCTTACGTTGAGTGGTTTGAGCAGGATCGTGATTAATCAGTGAGTCAGTTACTTAAGGATTTTATATATTGATATTGGTATAGATATTATCCTGATGGGACTTTCACCAGCTCAAAACTAGTCACGGTACTTTTGTTAATGTCCCCTGTAACTTTGTTGTGGATCAAGCAAGAGTATTAATATTTAACTGTCAAGAGGACATAATTATAATTGGCTGTATTGCTAATATAAATAATAATTAGAAGCTTAACAAACTTCAAATTTTGAATTTTACTTAGCGTTTAGCTTGTTATGGAAGAACCAAATGAAAAATAATAATTATGTATAAGTCAAGCGCCTAACCGCACGCGGTAAAATACCGGGTGGTCCATCGTTATTGGAGATATAGGATATCCCATGCAAATTTTGAACTGTCCAAATATTGGCTCCTCTTTTAATATTACAGCGAAGTCATAAATATTGTTTACTTTTTAATTGTGCACAACGCGTGTTTTGGCATGTGTTTTCAGCATATCCAGACCTTTAAAAACCTATTTACAACTTTGTTGTAAAATCAACAGGGAATTCAATCGGGACAGTTCAAGATTTGTATTAGATTTTCTATTTCCAACACCGCACCGATGCACCACCCGGTATAAATCTACCATTTTGATTTCTGATCGACAAAATTTTGTAAAAAACTGAGAAATTAATTCAAACTATCGTGTTTTCAAACAAATATACACATAGGTCCACAGTGCTTTTTGGCTACAGTGACTTGCAAGTAGCTTGCGAGATTTTTCTCACCAAATATTTTCTGGTTTTCTAAACCGTAATTTATTTATTACAAACATTTATAAGTTTATTATAGCAAGTTACTCTCAATTTTTACTAAAAGATGTACACAAAAAAAATGTATATCCTGTAACATTCCTCCTTCCAGTCAACTGGAATAGCGACAAATCATTACAATATTCATTAAATAACCGAACTATTTTACATTAAAGATGCATTTTAATATTTATAGCTTGTATTTCTTGATTTTTTTCATCCCATCTTCTTTTTATTTAATATAAACAGGTTCGACTTCGTTAACCGCCTTGTTGGCCATAATGGCAAAACTAAATCCTGACAATAATACGTTATATTATGATAATTAATACAAATCAAGTTCTTACTGGTTTTGTTGCTTAAGAAATATTCGTTAAACTGTTAAATAAGATTTGAGTTTTAAAAATAAAATCATATGACTTTTTATTTTAACTCAGTAAGTTTTTAAAAGAGTAAATTTTCTACTGACTACTTATTTATATTTCATTACCCCTTTTGTTGTTATTTCTATTTTTACTAATAATGTCTCTTTCTAGTATATGACTGACACTATTATTACGTTGTATTATATTATTAATATATTCAAAACAATAAGTACCAATAATGTTTTAACACTATTTCAGTTTGCCTTGTGCCTGCTTGTCATTTTTATTATTGAACTGGCAGTAGGAATAGCAGCAGCAGTGTACAAGAATGATTTCCATAAAGGCATTAAACAGCTGATGCGGGAGTCAATGAATAAGTACGAAACCAACGAAGCCGACCGAATGGCTTGGGACAACCTGCAGACAAAGGTGAGAAAAAATAATAATCTATTTGTAGATAGTATTATTTACTTTTATTTCAGCTATTGTTCTATAAACTTTTTTGGATACAAAATAGTATATTGACATAAAATTATTACAAAATTATTCCTATTCGTTTTTGTCCCAGGCCTAAATTATTAAGGATTGATATGATCTGACACTTACCCAAAATATAGCGTTTCCTGGTACAACCTCTTAAATAGTGTCGTTCAGATTTGGCCATAACATCTAAGTGTACTAGTAAAAAAGCGTTAAAAGGAGAAACGGTAGCTTTATAGACGCTTCAAAATATGACGTACAGCTTGTACAGCCTAGTGTACTAAACTTTGTCCACAAAGAGTATTGCAAGCGTACGTTTTGTCCATCTCCGTCAATGCTGTTCAACGAGGGAGACGTTATTTGGGTTTACTACTAGCCTTGTTTATAACAACAAAAATTCATATACAAGGCTACTAGCAAAGCTACTAGTATCCAAAGTCGTAGAAAATGACGATTTTATTGGATGCGTCTCATGCATCATGCATCATGCATTGATACATAGAATGAAGTGTCAATTACAAATTGTTTATGGCTCCAAGACTCAGGGTTAAAAATTACTCCAAGGAAATAATTAGAAGAAGACACAGTATATTTTTAATTTATTTTATATATATATATTTCATTTATCACCTCATTTTAAGACCTTTCAGTAAAATATGTTCTTGCAGTAAAATTATTATTTATTAATTATATATTATTATTATTATATGTACATTATACAGGGTTATTCACCACATACGACACGGAGTATTGTAGCTAAACCATTAGATTTTTACAAATTGTAAATTTTGGGTTCGTTGAAAGACTATTAGAGCTACAATTTAAAAATATTTTACAAGATACAGTGTATGGTGTGAAAAAATACCACTAGATTTGCTACCATTAGATTTTCTTCTAGTGGCGAAAAAAAAACAGAAGTTTGTGTGTCATTACAAAAAGAAATGTTTGCTATGTAAGGCTAGGTATACAGGGTGGGCCACTGAAAACTTACAATGGCTATAATTTTTAAACCAAAAAAGATATCAAAAAAATAAAAAATAACGTTTCTATAATATCGAGGGGGAATACATATGACGTATTTTTTGAACCACCCCGACCTACCCCTAAGGCGGCACCACTACTCACTTGGAAATCTTAAATGGTAACACCCCACTTGTGGCGACTTTTTGGAAAGCCCCTGAAAAATGCTAAACGATGATCATAAAGTTTTTAGGGTGAAATTGAAAAACTACCCCTTACACGAAAAATTAGGTGGACATTAATGAGAGAAGTGATTTTTTCAGCATAAGTTACAAATTAGGACCCAGCTAAATGAGGTTTATTTCAAACTCCCCCGACCCACCCCTAAGTACCACCCCCTCACTAGGGTTCCCAACCGTCCCGGTTTGACCGGGATTAACCAGGAATCAGAAAGTGTGTCCCGGCGAAAATTTTGCCTTGGCCGGGACCAAAAAAATCACATATACATATAATATATTTGAATTTCTAATATTTAATGTTTTTTTTTTCAATTATTTAAAAACTTAAAAATAATTGTCCCAGAATCGCCGATGCTCAAGTTGGGAACCCTACCCCTCACTTCTAACCTCAAGATAGCGATACTCCACTTGTGACACCTCATTGGAAAACGTATAAAAAATGCTGAACGACTGTCATAAAAAAGAAAGGAAAAAATGGAGCCTAAAAATAAAAAAAAATGTCAAAACGTGTCAAAATCAATAGAATGAATTATTTTTGTATCCATGAACCATTGCGAGAAAAAAAGCTGGTACAAAGAAATTTATTATAACTCTTAATGAAGACCTCATACACTTTCAGCAAGATGGAGCCCCTTCGCATTATTCTATTGTCACAAGGCGGTGGTTGGATAAATATTATCCAAGGCAATGGATTGGCAGAAGGGGTCTAATCGAGTGGCCGCCAAGGTCACCTGATCTCACTCCTTTAGACTTTTCCTTGTGGGGTTACACTAAATCCATAGTCTAGAAGACAAAACCAGGTTCGTTGCAAGAATTGCGGCAGAGGAGAACTGAAGCATGTCGAAATATTCCGAGAGAGACTTTCCAAAAAGTGAGAGAAGAATTTGAAAATCGTTTGTATTTTTGTATGAAACAAAACGGCTGTCATTTTGAGCAATTATTAAAATAAATTATCATTTTAAATTTCTTTCAAATTGTCACACCTACATTTCTTGTCACTAACCAGTAATTAAGTTGAAGTCTGTATGACCATCGTTTAGTAATTTCAATTAGCTTTGCAAAGAAGTGTCACAAGTGGGGTATCGCTATCTTGAGATTAGAAGTGAGGGTGGGTTGGGGTGAGTTAGAACCTAGAGGTGGGTTGGGGTGGTTTGAAAAATACTTCATTTGCGTCATTTAGCTGGGTCCCAATTTGTAACTTATGCTGAAAAAATCACCTTTTTCATTAATGTCCACCTAACTGTTCGTGTAAGGGTAGTTTTTCAACTTCACCATAAAAACATTATGATCATCATTTAGCATTTTTCATGAGCTTTCCAAAAAGACGCCACAAGTGGGGTGTTGCCATTTAAGATTTTCAAGTGAGTAGGGGTGCCTCCTAAGGGGTAGGTCGGGGTTGTTCAAAAATACGTCATATTTATTCCCCCTCGATATTATAGAAATGGTATTTTTTATCTTTTTGATATCTTTTTTGGTTTAAAAATTATAGCCATTGTAAGTTTTCAGTGGCCCACCCTGTCACAGTGCTAAAATATAGTTTATTTAAACAACTGCGATACTCGACAGACCATTTGGAAATATATAGTTTAATTTAACTAATGAAACACGCAATCTTAGTGGAAGTTATGAAATAATATTACAAATACAATTGACACCTCATAGCTAACGTATTATTTCGTAAATCTTAAGCTTTATTTCTATTTTCAATTATCAAAGTTGGAATGCCTTCGTCTCATAAAGATTTGGACCGCAAAATGGCAATTACAATTTGTCCCATCGCATCTTCAATAACAATTAAAAATAACGATCACTATACATCTCTTTGGACCGCGTTATTCATTAATTAAGCCTACACACATACGGAGAGCCGAAGAAGGAGCGTGAAATTAATAATGGTACACCTCGACTCACGAGTCAACTGAGGTCAATTCGATTTAGCGCCAGCTTGCGCTACGCTACCGGCCAGTGTCCGATTTTTTTTTTGGTTCTCAGTAAAGTACTTCAATTAAACGCTATCTACGTACGTCGCCATTGTCTAAAAAGCGTTTCTTTCATTGTCTTGGCACACCGAAACGAATAAATGCCACAACCGGACGAGCACAATTTAACAAGGCGTCTAGTGTGATACCGGAAAAAAGGAAAACACTTTTTTTAATATTTATAATAGGCAATTTAAGTCTTGCTCAAATTTTGTTGTTGTGTTTCTCTTTATATTATTTAATGATGTGTGTGAGACAGAACGTCTTCCCGAAATGGAAATACCCATACACGTGAAAACAATATGAAGAATTTTTGTTTTATTACAAATTTTATTTATTTTGCAAGTTTTGCAAAATTTCGTATTTCAGTTATTTATTTAATTTGAAAAATTTTGATAATTTTTTTAAGTCAATAGAACAAATGATCCTTTCTTTGTCGAGACTGAGATTCTAAATTAAAGTACCATACCATCAAAAGGTCTAATATTCGACACATTTAAATTGAACAGCAAAAGGAATGCGGGCCAATGCAAGCCACTGGGCAATTTATGGATAAATTCAACTGAAGCCATACCCCCCGTACCGATGCCGCGCTGTTCAACTTACATGTGTCGCACTTTAGTATGCTTTGAATTTTATAATAATACAAACTCAAAGGAAACTGTTTACTGAAATTGTATTTTTATTTACAATTCTTCTCCATTACGTTCTATTGCGCGGTGATTCTTCCCACTGATTTTGCATGCTTATCCCTTTTAAGTTTTTATGGAATTGTGTTTGGTTTGGTTTGGCTGTGTTTGGTTGAAGAAACTGTCCCAAACATATCAACGACTTCCATTTATCTTCTTTTTTTGTTGCACACGCGGTGCTTCTACTTTATCTATCCTTGTCGAGGACCTATCACTCACGCGCCAAATTTCAACATTAATTTTAAAAATTTAATTTGTAAAATGCATATATTTGTACAATAATTGAATGTTACTGTCACAAAAATTAAATTATATAAAAAATAAATTAGCCACTCCGTACGAATATCAATATTCTTAGGAAATCTAACCAGAAAATATGCATGTGGTTTAATATACATAAAAGAACAACTGAATACTTTACTTGCCTGTGAAAAGATAATTCGGGGACATTTATATTATAATTTCCGCACACGAAACCTTTCTTGTCATTTTTACGAATATTTACTCAAAAATTAAAACCCAACGAATAAAAAATAGTAATATAATTGCAAAAAAAAAACACTAAATCACCACAATACACCAAAACACTTTTACTTTTACACTGGACGCGCGTTTCGCTAACCATGTTAGCATCATCAGCAGATGATTATAAACTGATTATGAACAGTTTATAATCATCTGCTGATGATGCTAACATGGTTAGCGAAACGCGCGTCCAGTGTAAAAGTAAAAGTGTTTTGATGTATTGTGGTGATTTAGTGTTTTTATTTGGCTGTGTAACACCAAAGGTTCCAACCCTCAACTGTAATATAATTGCACAAACTTAAAATTAACTTCACACTGAACACACTTGCATCCTTGGCTATATAAAAGCGGTTGATAAAAGAGTAATAGTACAATGTTTAAAATAATAAACGCAAAAAACAAGCGTCGTTACACAATGGAAATAACATTATGACATATGATTATGACAAGATTATGACAATATGATGACAATGAAAAGTTGGTTTCCATAACAATGTATAATTTGTACTTTCTAAATCGGATAAAATTAATTATTTGGAAATACGTGCCACTTTTAATGCGCATGCGTAAAGTCAGGTCCTCGAGAAAGACAAACCTATTGAACATTTCATAAGTGCAATAAAGAAGGTGTATTGAAAATGGCATGTCGTGATGTTGGGGGCATATTTTTTAATGCTAAACTTGTGGCATTGATTTATCCACGTAAGTATATATGATCTAGGGGTTCACCTTTTGAGTTGGAGCACGTTGGAGTTGTTCACCTTTTGAGTTGTCCACCCGGTTTCCTCTGACCATTTACAAGCTCACCGTAAAGAAGATATTTCGACAAGCGGTTTTCTTGCATCCCGCATATGGGACCAGCCCATCTTAAGCGGGATTTAGTAATTATGACTTCAGCGCTTTCGCAGCTAGCTTTTTCAAAAACCGATACATTTGAGACATGATGATACCATTTGATTCTTAACAGTTGTCTAAGGTGTCTCTGTTGCAACTTGTTTAATGCGTTCATGTGACGGCGGTACAGCATCCATGTTTATATTCTATGTAACATGGTGGGGATTATTATTGCTGGGTCCACTACAAGTTTCGTTTTTGTGCCCAATTCATGATTGTAGAAAACCCTGCCTTGTAATTTCCAGAATGCTCTTGAGGCGTTGCTAATTCTATGAGTTTCAGAGTCGATATTGGCCTTTTCCGAAATCAAACTGCCGAGGTAATTGAAGTCCGCTACATATTCCAATAGCTCTGCTCCGATTTTAATAGCATTGTTATGATTTTCCAGAGTATACATGATTTTAGTTTTATCGATGTTTAGCTTAACGCACAAAGCCTCGTATGCCCAGGTTAATTGCTGTAACGTTTTTGCAAGTCATCAACGTATTGAAGTTCTGTGGTGAATTTTATACGTGTTTTTGCCCTGAACCTTTTTATGTTGAACAGACCGACGTTGTATCTGTATCTAATACCCATTCCTCGTTTCTATATTTTGCTATTCACTATAATAGAGAGCGCTGCCATGAATATGTCGAATAGGAGAGGCGCTAAGACACATCCCTGCATAACTTCTGTATTTGTTAAGAAGGGATCGCTCAGTGATCCATGATATGACACTCTCGATTTGTTGTTGTTATGGAGGCTTTTACACACTGTAAGGAATTTGTTGGGTACTCCGAACTTTTGCATAATTGCCCAAAGTGCATCTCTGTTTACAGAGTCGAAGGCTTTTGTTAGATCGATGAATACAACATAAAGTTTACTCTGCTGCTCCTGGATGCAACGGTACATGGTAACACATAATGCAACTAATATAAATATCCGATAATTTTGTGTTAAACATGAACATTGTTTTTGAATAAATGCCTTGATAAATAAATGAATTACTTAATTCCTATATACTTTCAGTTCAACCGCTTCTTCTTTCCTTAATCTTTTGTTTCACTTTCTGATAGGGTAATGTTTAGTTTTCCGACTCCATGCACAAAGATCTTCATTCGTTTATCTTTTACTAATTTAATTTCACGATACATGTTATTAAACTAACAAATGGACACTTTAAAAATATTTTGGTCATAACTATTTAAATTTCTTACATATTTGTAGGAACTAGTGGTAAGCAATATAATTAGAAACGTGTCAAAGTATGCACTTGTATTCTTTTGGCAACATCTTACAAACTGGTAAGAGTTCGCATGAACAAATTTTCGTAGAGATTTCCGTTCAATGTAACCCCCGCCTAATATTATTTCCTGTAAAAATTGTTTATCCGTCAACAGACAAAGCAAACTTGTAAAACTATTCTGCACACAAAATTTTGCTCAAAATTTCATTTCTTAATAGTAATTGTTTAAAGAAAGACGAAAATAACTTTTTCGCATACAAATAAGTTTTCATAAAAATAACTAAACATTTGGGTAGTATATACCCAAGTAAACACCTTAACCATAACATATATGTACATTCATATGTATGGACTAATAGAGTGTAACTATATACAATATTAATTTTTATTGCAGGTAAATAAACTAGTCCTTGTTATTTAAATTCCACTGCTCTATTACAAATACGCACACATCCTTCATTCTTCATTTCTTATTTCAAATATACATTAAACATATGACTAATATGAATTGAATTAGACTGGTTTAATCATTTCCTACATTACAAAGGACAGGTTGACAGGTATTGATGACTAGTTGGTATTTAACATTTCTGATAAAAGAAATGTGGTACTTTTTACTTTGAAATAGAATAAATTAATTGTTATGCTACGGATGGGAAAATCATATCAATTATATTATATCCATTCGTGGTTTTACAAAATAAGTTAATTGTCATCACTTGCAGAGGATACTGTTTTAATTGTAAATGAAAATTTTGAAGAATCTGACTATGAATGATAAGCAATTTTAACTTCCTATTAGGTACTCTAAATACATTTTTATAATTAATTATCTATTTTAAAAAAAAATACCAAACATCAATAATTCTCAATGCATAATTATTTTTACTTGTAATTTCAAGTTTTGTACAGAGTGTAGATGATTTCTGGCAGGTACTTGTGTGGCGGTTATGTGTGGCATCAGTATTTCACAAGTACACGAGAGTATCCGAATGGCACTATTTGATAAGCGGTACTAGGTAAATATGACTTAAGGTGGTTAGTCATTGTTTTCTTGTACAAGGTAGCTATACACTGTTTCCTCAATTCAGATAAATAAATATGTTTATTTAAATAAATAAAGTAACCGTGCCATTTGAGGATTGAACCCAATACCGCCTACACATTAGAAAACACAAAAACGCTAGAGTCGAATGTGTATTCTAGATGATAAAATTATTTTTAAATTCCTTGCTTTGTTAACATACTCCACAGGGTGTTTCAAACTTTCATAAAAATATCAACATTTTGTTTTCCCTCGTATAATTGACAAATGGCAACTTTCAATTTTAATTTAGAAAGAGATATTAAAAAGTCAAATAATTTAGCTACAGATTGCTAAAAAAATCATCAAAATCTGTCCATTAAAACCTTAGAAGTAGAACACAATATATTGTGTTCAACTTCTATTGTGTTCTTCTTCTTTTCATATATTTAAAGTTTTGTACCTATAGGTACAAAACTTCAAATATATGAAAATTTTAATGTGTCCGTTTTTCGTGCCGGTGAGTGTATAAATAAATACATGGGATGATTTGTTATTATACGGGAGATTTCAACAATTAACTAGATTTTTTTTCAATATTTTTGTTTGAAAATAATTAACTTAATTTTGATAAACAAAAATTTTTACTAGACAAATTCTTGATCAGGAATTATTTTAAAAATTATTTTTTTAATGCAGAAATTGCCTCTGCGATAAAATCTACCAAAAAATACAATACCTGCCAAGAGTCTTACAGCAAGACCAAAACCATTCCCGCAAGACCCAGACCACGATTATTTATTAGACTGCAAGACCAAGACCAATGCCAAGCAGAACTTGGTCTTGGTATTGCATTCACTCATCACTAATTTTGATTAATGTTGAAACAAAATATGATCATTTGCAGCTGAAATGTTGCGGAGTCGATAAAAATAATGATTGGATTTTGCTGCTTGGAAAACGACCCCTATCCTGTTGCCATGCAACTAGAGATGGTTCTCAGCCTCCAGAAGCTATTCATTGTAATAGTGCAAAAACCGGAGACGAGATACTATACTCCGATGGATGTTTCGATATGATAGAATACAAAGCCGAAGAAGCGTCCAAGGTGCTTATCGGAGTGGGAATAGGAATCGCTTTTGTTGAGGTAAAGTAAAAAACCAACTTGTATTGTGTCGAGGTAAAAACTGTTTTAAAGATCTGCGTCACAGTACAATTTTCTGTTTTATTAAATGAGGTAGTACTTCCAATTTCCAATTTTTAAGATAATGTTTAGCTTTGTATAAGTTTTGTGGCAAATTCACGTCAGTAATTTCTAGGTAATGAATTCGTCTAATTGAAATCTGGTATTTTCAATATTTCTCTGCATCCAATAAAGGGGAGGTAGGAAATCTCTACTTCGAAACATCAAGTGTTATTTTGATTTCAGACCTTTGTTCTAATTTTATTTAAAACGTGTAAAATATAACGTAGGTAGCCCTTCAATAATTTATTAGTTTTGTTTTACGTTGTCAATAGTTTCATTTCAAATGTGTTTTCTTAAGAGTGATCAGTTCAGTAAGTGAGCACTAAGAAGGGATTTTTGGAAAAGTTTGGTTTGGTTTGGGTTTTACGGAACGAAATTTTGCACAGAGGTTTCTTAAGCGGCGTAATTAAACACTAAGAAGGGTATTTTTGGAAACTCAACCTTTAAAGGGATGAAACTACAGAAACTAGGGGTGGAACTTTGTAGATTTTTTTTAAATTTGTCGTAGGAGTATAAAATTTTGTGCAGAGATTCTTAAGTGACGAAAGTGGATAACTCGATTTTTGGAAATTTATCACCACGAGGGTAAAGTTAGGGGTGAAAGTTTGTACAAAAATTTGTTAAAACCGCTTCTAGAAGTATGACATTTTACACAGAGGTTTCTTGGGTGACATAATTGAGCAATGAGGAACAATTTCTGGAAATTCACACATAAATAAGGGGGTAAAACTGGTGGTGAAATTTTGTATATATTTTTTAAAATAAGTCCTAAGGGTTTGATATTTTGTATAGAGGTTTCTTAAGTGGCGAAAGTGAGTACTTAGGCAGCGATTTTTGGAAACTCACCGCCTAATGGGTTTTAGAAGTATGAAATTTTGCGTAGAAGTCTCTAAGGTAACGTAATTTATCACTAAGGATCGATTGAGTACTAAGGAGCGATTTTTAGAAATTCGCCTTTTAAGAGTGTGAGATGAGAGGTGAATGTTCAGAAAAAAATCTTTTTTATGTGTATGTAGAAAAATTTGCATAGAATATTGCGCCCTTATGTGATGAAAGTAAGTGCTCAGAAACGATTTTTAATGTCATCCCCTAAGAGGGTGAAATTAGGGGTGAAATTTTGTACAAGTGAACTTTTAAATATTTGTACAAAAAATTGTAACGGTTCTAGATTAAAAATTGGTTCTAGATTAAAAAGTATTAACATTAACACACAGAGGTCCATTAAATGAAAAACGTGGGTACTAAGAATCTATTTCTCAAATCTATCCCTTAAGTAGGTAAAATTAGACACAGAGGTTGACAGCAGTTGACAAAATTGACAGCAGTACCAAAATCAGTTAAAAGTAATCATAGTAATCAAAGTAACGAATATATGAAACGAATACTTAGTACTCGAGTAACGATTAGTAACGAGTAATCAAAAGTAACAAAAATCAACATCACTAATCGAGCCTGAAAACTCACTAAAATATTTTTTTTCGATTTCAAAATTGTTAGAAATAGACAGGCTATCTCAAAACAAATGCAAAAAACTTTAGGGGGTGTTAATTTTTAAAATAACCAAAATTCAACGATTAGGGAGATATTAGGCCGTATTTATAAAAATGAAGCATTTACTTTCAAGTAAAAGGTAGAAGCAAAAGGTAGAAGTAAAAGGCTTTGCTACAATTCGTATTTATAATCTCTACCTTTTCCTTGCAAGGAAATGCTTTGGATAAATAAAGTAAAAGGTACAGAGATACAATTATAACTTTAGGAATACTGGTAAATTTCACTCTGCATCCATACTTTAGAATAGGAAATCGCCGTTTCAGTTGCCTAAATATATGTTCAATCGCAACTCGCTCTAATTTAAGCAGCCTGTTGAAGGCTATCTGATATTCCTCGAGTTAGTTGGGATAGGGAGTCATGAGACATAACATTATACCATATCCACTGTCCCCTAGTAGTATATGTGTGTCTTGTCCTGTTCATGACTTCACATACTGCCGAATTCTTTCATATACGAGAATCATGAACTGATTCAGACCAACTTGCATCTATACTAGTTATAACACAATTCTGGTCGCATGTGGCCTGCATATTAATACTGCTAAAACCTTTTTTTTATATATTCGTCTCCAAATTGGGCTGGCTTTTCAATACGAATGTGCATGCAGTCAATAACCCCAATGGCTGTTGGGAAACGGAACCTGGTCATCACTTTTCTTTGGCCTGCATGATTTGATTTTCTGTGTTTGGGAACAGAATCCATTGGCCAGCCTGTTGTACAACCCATATAACACAACACAATCCTATAGATATCTTGAGGATATCCACCAAGGATATA